AGCTATGACCCCATCTCCATGCCAGTTAAGCTAATGCCTCCCTGTCTGTCTCCCCAGGTGCCAGGCTGCCAACAAGACCTGCCCCGCCAACCACACGTGGAGCAGCCACATCTGCAGGTGCCTCACTCAGCAGGATTTCATGTTTGCCTCCACCGATGGCGACGGTAAGAGCGTGCTGGCTTTGGAGACTAGATGCCAAGGCTCTCTTGTGATCGGCACGCACTTTCATATCAGACCCACACGCACGATGTTCAGGTCATGACACGCACTAGCTCACTACGCGATGGGCCCTTGCTTGCCTCCCATTGGTATTGCATGGACCGCTCCTGTAGAGGCACATGCCATGTCCATGCACAGCCCTGTAATGAACAACATGCCAGGGAAGGTGCTGTCCACGCTTTTATTGCATAACACCACCCAGCCCCGAGTGAGGTGTAGTAACCATGTCCCGCCTGGTTGTCTAGACGCGGCCGATGGATTCCACGACGTCTGTGGCCCCAACAAGGAGCTGGATGAAGAGACATGTCAGTGCGTCTGCAAAGGGGGGCTGCGGCCGGCTAGCTGTGGGCCCCACAAGGAGCTGGACAGAGACTCGTGCCAATGCGTCTGCAGAAACAAACTCTTCCCCAGCTCGTGCGGGCCCCACAGGGAGTTCGACGAGAGCACGTGCCAGTGCGTGTGCAGAAGAGCCTGCCCGAGAAGCCAGCCCCTCAACCCAGCCAAGTGCGCCTGTGAATGTACAGAAAACCCCCAGAAGTGCTTCCTCAAAGGGAAGAAGTTTCAGCCTCAGACGTGCAGGTGAGCAGTCGTCATGAACCGTGGGTATTTCTCTTCCTGGAAATCATTTTCTCAACTAAACGCAGTTTTCTCAACACAAGCAACAGCTGCTGGTGGAACCAGTAAATTCTGGAAGAGTTGTTCTGAGGGGTTTCAACCAATGCCAGACTTTCAAGGCAAGAAAAGAGGCCTGGAATGCACACCAGATCCAGGCTCAGAGTGTGCTCTGAGTCCTTGTCCCAGAAGCTGAGGTGGTGGCTCTCGACCCAAGCTAGACAGGTACATAGGACAGTCACCTGGGAGCATTTTCCAAATGCAGCCAGGCCCTGGCCGGTGTTCTCAGGGGTTAGAGCATCAGCTGCTGCACGAAAGGGTCTTGGGTTTGATTCCCAGTCAAGGGCATGTACTTGGGTTGCAGGTTCGATCCCTGGCCTTTTAGGTGCATGTGTAGGAGACAACCAATCTATGTGTCTCTCTCACATCAGTGTTTCTCTTTTTCTCTCTCTCCCTCCCTCCATCTCTCCCTGCCTCCTCCCACTCTCTTTAAAAATCAATGGAAAAAATGTCCTCGGGTGAGGATTAACAACAACAAAAAACATACCACTGGGCAGTGCACACCTGCCTCCACCACAATTATGATTCCATCAGATGAAATTTAAGACCACTGTTCTAAGTGCAGAAAATTGTGTCCAAAATTTACAAAGGATAAGACATTGACAATTACTGTAGAATTGTATCTAGGCATAGAAATATTTAAGCGAAGTGTTTAATGGAATTAGAGGAGTAAATTAATATGCTGTTAGAGGTTACTCCTTAAACCTTGAGTCTGCTCCCTCTTCACCAAGAAAAACATGACACGTTGGGCCCGAATCCTTTCTGTGTGAGTCCTGACCTTGGTCCTGTCTATCCTGAGAATAAGGTGGTCGACTACGGAAGCCAGAGTCGACATTCGACATGTCCTCCCATGTTCCTTCAACATTGCTTCACCCATCATGCCTCTCTCTTCCTGACCTTTACACCTTAACTCTGTTGTCCTTTCCCCTCAATTCATAAAAGCTCCCAGATGTCTTCTATCTTATCAACCTGTCCCTGTGATGCAGAGCTGTCCACCGAGATCTGTCCTTGCCAAAGATGCTCAAGGCCAGGCCTTCTGCATTTGGGTCCACCTCTTTCCTTTATTAAAATTTGAGTTATTACATTTATTGGTGTGATGTTGGTTAATAAGATTATATAAGTTTCAAGGATACAATATTATAACACGTCACCTGTATATTGCATTGTGTGCTCATCACCCATTGTCTCGTCTCTTGCCATCATCATATATTTTACCCCCCTACCCCATTCCTCAGCCTCTCTGGTAACCACACAGTCACCTCTTTCATCTGAATTTTCTGAATTTTCTCTTTTTTTAAATATATTTTTATTGATTTCAGAGAGGAAGGAAGAGCGAGAGAGAGATAGAAACATCAACGATGAGCTAGAATTATTAATCGGCTGCCTCCTGCATGCCCCACACTGGTGATCGAGCCCGCAACCCAGGCATGTGCCCTGACCAGGAATTGAACCGTGATCTCCTGGTTCATAGGTTGATGTTCAACCACTGAGCCACGCTCACTGGGCCATCTCTGAATTTTCAACCAACTAATGGGGTTTGTGCCCTAGAATTAATTCCATGATAGATTTCTGTTTAAGGTATCAATACACTCTTGATTGCCACATGCACTGGACAAGTTGGTCTTTCTGTAAGCGGCCCTTTCTGTAGCTTTTCTTTAAGTTCTCTTCCTTTTCTGTCTGACATTACATTGCCCTCTCCTGGGTTCTCTGAGTTTGCTCTTCATCACCTTCACGGCTTCTCTTCTTCTCTTTCATCTGCTCTTCGCGGACGGTGATGACGCCTTTCAAGGATGACTATGCACAGGACTCCACGCTTTCATTCCATCTACTTACAGTTGCGTCTCTGCATTGATGTCATCAGTACTCTCTTCCTCAGTAAACTGAGTGTCCACCTTTTTGTTCTGAAAAGTTCTGTGCTCTCATTTTATGCTATATTTGAAGATCCGTCTGCACTAGCATTTTAGCTGCTGCATAAGGAGATTCACTGAATCTACAGATATACTTGATGACATATTTTTTCATTATTGTTTCAGAATGCCTTACTGGAACCATTTTTTTCTCTTTAGAATATTTTAAGCAATAACTGTATTGAAATTTTACTCACATATCTCTACTCAAATTACCAGGATACTTAAAAAATGCAGAATATAAATATCAAATCTTATGGAGCCATTTGAGTCTTTGAGTGAACCTAATTAGTATGTATTTAAAAAGCTGAAATTTTATGTTTATAAAGCCTAACCAGTAATCATATTTTTTCTCTAGAATTCTTATAAGTTAGTAGAAAATATTTGTATCATTGTATTTCTCTTAATAGTATACATGCTTCATAAAGGTTTTTATTTACTGAAACTCTCCCTATGGTCACTTTTATAGGGGTGTAATTCCAGGTTTCATGCATATGTTGAAGCAAAAAATAATAATTTATATTTTGAAAATATTTACACCCATTTTCTCTTAATATTTATTCCAAAAGTGTGGTGGGCAGCATATACAAGCTTTGGTCTACTGCCTTATTCAGTAACTTTCATTGCTCATTGAGAATTCTGTCTTTTTACGTAAGGAACAACAGTGGTCTTATAAAATTGCATTTGTCTTTAGAAGTTTTAAAAATCACATTTTAACTAGATGAGCTTCCTTTTCTAAAGCACAAGAAGTGAAATGATAGTATCAGGATCACATGTGTAGTTTTTCTGCAGTGCACTGTGGAGTTCCATGGCAGGCCATTTGCATTCTTCCCTGGACACCCATCCCCATTCCCACATGTTAACCAAACTCATATGCCAAAAAAAAAAAAAAAATCATCTTCAAAGCTCTCTCCCATTCCTCAGAGCAACAGGGCTTTGGATGGGATTAGTTGCTTGATCATTAATTTTTTCACCACTGCTGGAAACTGGAAGTCCAGAGGTGGCAGAGAGGGGCCCCCAAGGGAAACTGTCCCTCCCTTTGCACATGGAGCCGAGGTGGGGAATAGGGGGGTGAGCCCCCACCATGATCACAGCTGCAGGTCCCGCAGATGGGAGTGAGGGTGGGGCTGCCCCTGAGGACCACAGTCCTGCCTGCAGATGGCTGGCTTGGGTCCTTGGGTCCCTTTGAAGCCCTGGTTCCCTGAAAGTCTCATGCTTATGTGATCACCCTGAATCGCAGACCCGGAACAATCACTTCCAACATCTCCTCATATACGAAGCAGCGAGCACTTCAATAATACCGATGCTGGCAGTGTCTCACTCTTCCATTTGTAACATCAGGAACCCAGACACTCTGGAGGGTGAGGGTCCATTCCCCTCAAACTGTGTGATTGTAAGCACAAACTAACAATTTACAAACCTGTAAACCTACTGTTATGACAAATGAGTAAGTTCATTCTAGTTTAAAATTTAGACTAACACAAAAGTGTGTTTATAGCATAACGAATTCCTCCCCTTGGTCTTTTATGTATTTATTTATTTAATATATTTTTTTATTGTTGATAGTATTACAGATATCTTCTGTCCCCCTCCTTTGCCCCCCTCCTCCTAGCCCCTACCTATCCCCCAGGTCTTCACTATCCAATTGCCAGTGTCCATGGCTATGCATATCCTATATAATAAAAGGTGAATATGCAAATCAACTGAACGACAGAATGACAGGTCTGCCATCAGGGGGCAGATGAGCAATGCAGGAGCTGCCCTGGTGGTCAGTGCACTCCGAGGGAGGGGGGGGGCGGCTGCTCAGCCAGAAGCTGGGCTCACCACTGGTGAGTGCAGTGGTGGTGGTGGGAGCCTCTCCTGCCTCTGCGGCAGCACTAAGGATGTCCCACTGACGGCTTAGGCTGAGTGGGACATCCCCCAAGGGTTCCCGGACTGTGAGAGGGCGCAGTCCGCGCTGAGGGATCCCCCCCACCAAGTGCATGAATTTCGTGCACCGGACCTCTAGTAAGTATATAAATCCTTTGGTTGATCTCTTCTCCCCACAACCCCACATCGAGGTTTGTCAGTCTGTTCCACGCCTCCCTGCTTCGGGTCTTATTTTGTGGGTCCATTAATTTTGTTCATTTGATTCCACAACTAAGTGAGATCATGTGATATTTGTCTTTCTCAGTTTGGCTTATTTCACTTAGCATAACATTCCCCAGGCCCATCCATGCAGTGCTGTGCAGCTGTAAAAAAGAGGGATCTCTTTTCCTCGCCTTGGCCTTTAACGAGAGCGTGTGTCTCTGTTTTCCTAGTTGTTACAGACGGCCGTGCACAAACCGGCTGAAGCACTGCGAGCCGGGCCTTGCGTTCAGTGAGGAGGTGTGTCGCTGTGTGCCCGCGTACTGGAAGAGACCACAGTGAACTGAGATGGGACTGTTTCCCGGCGTCCGTTCCTGCCATGGCAGACTGTGCTGCCCCTTTAAAACTGTCTGTGGACAGAGAGACGTGTGTGGGGCCACGGTGACAGAGACAGCGGTCGGTGGGTGTTTCCCGAGCCACGTGGATCACGTCACGGAAACGGGCCCAGGCTCATCTGCAAAGACCTCTTATAAACACTGGTTTTCTGCCAAGGACCGAACAGCCGAGGTTTTTCTGTTGTGATTTAAAAAAAAAAATGACTATATAATTTATTTCCACTAAAAATATTGTTTCTGCATTCATGTTTATAGCGATAACAATTGGTAAAGTTCACTGTGATCAATATTTTTATATCATGCAAAATATGTTTAAAATAAAATGAGAATTGTATTATAAACTGCTGAGTGCGGTCTATTACCATCTTCCGTCGCAAGTAGAGCTTGATATTATGGACCATTCACCCCCGCAACCCCACCCTTTTTCTTTTTCTCTAACCAGATGTCAGACTGGGCTTGTGATAACAATCTAAACCTACAAAAGAAATGTTCACAAGGATAACAGTTGCTATTACTTTTTAATCTCAACATTTTCATGAGTATAAACATTTTAGCACATGATACTCTTGAATTTATAACCAAATGAATCGATAAAGAACATACCATCTAAGAAGGCGGTCTGCTTATTAACATCCATGTGATGGAGTCATTCCGGCACCGGGAGCACTTGGACTTCTAACTCTGGGTGTGATCTCTCTCTGGATCTGGTGAGTCATTTTTAGTATTGATACATTTTTAAATACATTAATTTTTTAGCTAATGCAAAAAAATATATCTAAGTTTTGAATGAGCCCCTAAGGCTATGTAACTTGATACAACAGCTGTTATAAGTTATCAGCTTGGAAGTCATCTAAACTATGTGTTGACAATTAGTTTCTCAGAAGATATGGGTAAGCCAAAAAACCACTGGGCCAAATATTAAAGTGCGAAGCGTGCCAGAAAAAAAGACATTTAACTTGTCCCTGGAGATGTAATCATTTTGGCCCAAAGCAGAAGTAACATGGGCAAAGACAAGATCTTGCCAGTGGTACTCAGACAAGTTTATATGGACCATAAAAACCTCACTTCCCTCCATGGTAATAGGTGAGATTTTGTGGTGCCAGCTAAAGAGGTGGACTGGAGAGAAAGCTAAACAATTCTGTGGAGCATTAGCAAGACCGACTCAGCAGAAGCTAAAAGATACAGTGAAAATGCCCATAAACTGGCCTCGAGCCTCCAGACCCCAGGCGGGCAATCTGCAGGACGAAGACGAGAAAACACTGGGCGTCTGAGGCACCAGTGTCTACATGGGCATCTTGGAAGTTTGAACACAGAATTGTATGCCCTAAAACCTAATGCTGTGTCCTTAGTTGAAAAGACTCGAGGGGAAAAGATATTTTTTAAGCGGCGGTATAAGCTCTAGCTTCCAGACTTTTTTTTTTGGAAAGGGGTTTTGACATTGGCTGACTGATGGAATGAAACAGATTCCAGTATTAGAATTTCTAAAAATAGCTTTGTTCTCTCCATCCACGCTAACTCCAAACAGAAGTGTGGGTGGCGGCCACGAGAAGGCCCCACTGGCATACCCAGGGTGCATCTCTCAGAGGGAGGCAGGCAGGGCCGGCTCTGTCTTCCTCTGGGTGGAGACCCAGCTCTGAAGGACTAGTCCCAGTGGGTAAGAAGGAAGGAGACCCACAGGCGAGGCTGGGATGGCAGCCGGTGCTGTAGGGCATGGTGAGGCTGAGATGGCAGCCGGTGCTGTAGGGCATGGTGAGGCTGAGATGGCAGCCGGTGCTGTAGGGCATGGTGAGGCTGAGATGGCAGCCAGTGCTGTAGGGCATGGCCAGTGGTCAGGACACTCCCACGTGGGGAAGGTCGTGCTCACCTCCCCGGGGGTGCTACGCTCCTGCACTTTCACTGGCAGGTTTATCAAGGGCTGCTGTTTAGGGACTTTGCCTTTTGAACTGAAGATGAGCCTAGCCAATCACTTCGCTATGGTAGAAAAGAGACATTGGCGAGTCTGGTTTTCATGTTGATAAATTCTAGAAAGTTCTGAATAAATCCAATTATTGTATCAAAACAAATGCCTTCAGTACACCCGAACACTGAGGAAGTCAGTGATACTTTATAAATTAATACCGGTTTTCTCTGTCCTTGAATCTTTTGTATATGGGATACTTTTTTAAAGGGAGTAATTGTTAACTTGCATAAGTGCAGTTTGAGGGTTGGAGAGGTTGAGGGTTTGGAAATCTCTATAAAAACCAGAGCTTCTCACACGCTTTCCTCTTCTCTCCACAGCTAACAAGCCGGTGCTGGGAAAAGCCCGGGGAATGGAGGGACCCTGGCGGGAACCACAGCAGGTCCTTAGCCTGACTCCTGGGCGAGTGCAGCTTCATCTCAGGAAGGAGCCAGTGGAGCTAAATGTGTGAACCCCCCCCCCACCCCCGCTGGTACCAGGCTGGTGCTGGGCCACATCAGGGGCCTCTGGCAAGAGAAGGGAAACAGGGAGCACTGCTGAGAAATCGGGGAGGCCCTGTTCTTGAGAATAACGACCCATTAAGAGGAAATATGAATCTTAAATATGTTTTATGTAAAATTCATAAGTAAAGTATCTCCCGTAACCATAATTCTAACTAGTCTAGACAGCTCAAAGCCCCGGAATTGTATCAAAGGGGACACCTGTGGAGACTTTGGAAAATGTCTTTCAACTGCTGATAAAAGTACATATGTTGAAAAAATACAGCAACGAGACATTTCATATAAAAGCAAAAGTTAAGGCTGCACCTGCTCCGAACCTGGGCCAGGTGCGCCTACACTTACTGCACTTGGTCCAGACCAGGCTGTGGTTGCAGAGCCTGAGTTCTGATGACCCGGCTTCATTAGGTCTCCGCCTGGTGTCACAGGCTGACCACACCGGGCCTGGGGTCCACACCCTCTGAGAACAGGGGCCAGGAGCTGAGGCTGCCGGGAGCTCACCCACGGGCTGACCACGCATCAGGCTTGACAAGACGCGGCTGTCCACACTGACACACTAACTGTGGATTAGGTAGAAAGGGTGGTGACACACACTTACCAACATCCTTTAAATTCACAAAATAATGGGTAGCTGGATCAGAGACCTCACAGTTGCCTCACTGAGAACAGGGGCCAGGAGCTGAGGCTGCCGGGAGCTCACCCACGGGCTGACCATGCCGGGCCTGCGGTCCACACCCTCTGAGAACAGGGGCCAGGTGCCGAGGCTGCCGGGAGCTCACCCACGGGCTGACCACGCATCAGGCTTGACAAGACGCGGCTGTCCACACTGACACACTAACTGTGGATTAGGTAGAAAGGGTGGTGACACACACTTACCAACATCCTTTAAATTCACAAAATAATGGGTAGCTGGATCAGAGACCTCACAGTTGCCTCAATCAAAATACTTAACTTTATGAACACAATGCACACACACTTTTAAAGGGAAAAAAGAACTTTCACGTGTGCTCTGCACGCTGCTCTGTCTCACTTTGGAACACTCGTGCGTTGTTAAAGCTGGGACATATTTTCCCATCATTTTAAGGCAGCTGCACATTTTCTTAATCTTTTTAAAAATTAATGTTGCTCTATTTCAAATGTGCAGATTTCAGTTAAGTAGGAATTCTGTTTGAGGATATCATTAGGAATGCAACTAGGTGGCTGACAGGGTCATTCAGTGTGAAAAAACCCAGCAAATCCTTTTCCTGGGTATCAGCGTCAAATCCGGGAGTACCAGGTGTAGAGACTTCCCATGGCCCAAGTTCATGAATGACAACTGAGCCCTCCACGCCGCCCATGCTTTACACTCCCTGTCTCCTTTCCCTGACAGCCCCCCACAACGCCCCCACGTGCTACTGTTCTCTCTGTATCTCTTACAAATCTTAAACGATGACCTTCAACCCTGACTCTCTCCTATTCCCAGGCCCAATGTTTCCTGTGGACAGTATGTTTCCTGTCACTGCTCATGGATAAACTGTCCCAGGAGCAGACAGGACTGGGAGTGGCCACTCCCCCGATTCTTTTTTTCTTAAATATATTTTATTGATTTTTTACAGAGAGGAAGGGAGAGGAATAGAGAGTTAGAAATATTGACTACAGAGAGGCATCGACCAGCTGCCTCCTGCACACCTCCTACTGGGGATGTGCCCACAACCAAGGTACATGCCTTTGTCTGGAATCGAACCCGGGATCCTTCAGTCCACAGGCCGACGCTCTATCCACTGAGCCAAACCAGTTAGGGCTCCCCCCATTCTGATGCCCAGTTTAAGCAGCCTCTCTTGATTTTAATGATATTTGTGAGGCTTGCCTTTCATAGGGCCCCAGTAAATGAGGGATCATAGACTCTCATTGGGACATGCTAATAATGAGGAAAAAGAGAGGAGGGAAGGGAAGGAAGAAAAGGTGAAAACAGGAAGAAAGAACAGGAAAAAATGAGAAAAGGTCAGAAGGGGAATCGAGAGAAAACGCAGGACAACTAGAATTTTAAAGAAAAAATGAAGATGTCCCCTGACCTGTTGGGACGAAGGGGTGGGGGTGGGGGGAGGCCAGTTCTGGAAGTGCAGGGGGCATTTCTGCAGCTTGTGACTGAGAGTGGCAAAGGCAGGGTGATGGTGTCTTGCGCAGCCCTTGCCTGGATGATGGTGAGGTAAATGCCAGGGCCGTTATCTGGAAAGGTCAAGGGGAAACCCTGATGTAAGACATGGGGCGGCATTTACTTGTGCCCATGGACTCTGAATGCCACGTCTGTCACCGTCATTCCTGTGGCGGTCAGTGGCTTTGGAGAAGGTCTTGGGGAAACAAAGAATGTCCTCATTTCTGCCTTTAAAGCTGTTGCCTTCATCGGCCGTTTCAGATCACACGACAACGTCATGGTGACTTTCCCCCCAAGTTCCATGACTGGTGCGGCCTGTGTGTGAGCAAATGGCAGGCGCTGTTCTCCCTGTGGCATGTGGGTGGGCAGGCATAGGAATGAGAAGTCTCCCTTCTTCCCAAGGGTGGGCTCGCCCCTTCGGGTCTCCGGGGAAGCTAGGCTCTCACAGGCTGAAGAGGGCTGGAGGGTGCAAGTTCTCTCAAGCAACCCAGTCTTTTCTCTGCACCTGAGACAATTCCAGGAGTTTCGTTAGGCCTAAGGTGTTTCTACAGGGTACAGCAGTCGGCTTCTCATTTTTATGAAAAAAGCATTGGTTGCCCTGAACTGTTCAAGGTTTCTCCTGAGACAGGCAGAGCCCACACAACAACATGACAGGCGATCGTTCATGGCACCTCCTCATCCCACCAGAGCTGCTTGACCTGATCTGTTTTATGTCAAGATATTGAGGGGGAAAGATTTTATTTT